CTGGCCAATTGCCCTCGGCCCCACCCCCCGCTGGCCATCCCGGCCCTGATTGGTCCCTGATTGGGGCGGGCCAGTCGGCCAACCTCCCGCCATATCCTACTCCTGACAGGCCCGGCCCTGATCTGCCCTGATCAGGGTCAGGCTGGCCGGACCACACCTGTGCATGAATTTGTGCACTGGGCCTTTAGTAAATTCAATAAAAAGGGAAAAAACCCCAAAACCTTTCTCAGACATAGAAGTTCTTCCTTCCTGAGGTGCTGCAACAGACACTAGGGTAGCATCTTGGGGAAAGTAAGCTGGTGGTGGGGGTCAACTGGAAAACTGTACCTGCACTTGGGACCAGGAAATTCACCACTTCAATTCTGTCAAAGTAGATCATCACACCACCACTAAGAGGAAGAATGGACAAAGAAGTCACTGGTAAGCTCTGGAATATAGTCACAAAACCATTCCCAAACCTAAGAAAATCAACAATAATTCCTTAACATTGTCTAATACCCAGTCATTCAAATTTCCCCAATGATTTCCATTATGGACTGAATTATGTGCCCTCCTAAATCCGTATGTTAAAACTCTAACCCCCAATGTAACTATACTAGAAGATAGGGCCCGTAGTTAAGGTTAAATGAAGTCATAACTTGTCACTGATTGGACTTGTAACAAAAAAAAGAAAAAAGGAAAAGTCATCTCTTTCTCTTCCTCTTCCTCCACGTGCAGAGAAAAGGCTGTGTGAGGACAAAGCAAGGCAGCCAACTGTAATCCAGGAAGACAGGCTTCACCAGAAACCAATCCTGCCGGCACCTTGATCTTGGACTTTGAGCTTCTATAACTTGAGAAAATAAATTTCTGTTGGTTAAGCCATCCAGTCTGTGGTATTGTGATGGCAGCCCTAGCTGACTAATAATAGTTTCATCAAGTTTTTATAGCTGTTAGTTTTGGACCAGATTCTAATTAAGGGTCACCTTTGTATATGTTTGTCTTTTAAGTCTCCTTTTCAACCCAGTGCCTCATACA